TTGTGGGCCAATAATTCACATAGTGAGCTGAAGAATTCATCATGGCAAAGATACTGTCTTGAGTATATGCAGAGGCAGCCAGTGGAAGTACAGGTTTTTGATCCAAGAAAACAGTTCCAATTGTATTGGGATGGAAACAGCATGGGACTCAGAAAAGTGGATCAGCAGATCTTGATCAATGAAAGAAAAGAAATCTAAAGGAACGGGGTCCCAGTGACTAAGGACTTTAACTATTTCCTTTATAATGAGAAATTTGAAATGAATACCAGGCCTTTGTCAGTTGACTTGTTGTTCATGCTACTGGAGCTGTGTAGTAACTATACATGGTTCTCATTCCGTAGTTGGAGTTCAGTCATTCTTAACTAATTGCTGCTGTCATTAAGCACTGAATTAAACAATGCCTACAGGTATTGTTCTAAATAGCTATTTGGCCTGGGTGGACCCAGGTGACATGTGCTCAAAGCTGAAACACCACCAGGTCAGCTCTCTCCCTACCCCCATTGCTCTAATAATGTTTGTTTGCTTTACTATTATTATTATTATTATTATTATTATTATTATTATTAGTTAAGGTATTACAAATGTGTCCTCATCCCCCCCATTAACCCCCAACCTACCCCCCCCCCCCCCCCCCCCCGCCACACACACTCATGCTCCCATCCCCCTGTTGTCCATGTCCATCGGTTTGGCTTATATACATGTATACAAGTCCTTCAGTTGATCTCTGTTTGTTTGTTTTTTATGGTGCAATTCACAATACCTCTGCACATGCTGTTCTCTCTCTAGAATGTACTGTGCTGCCTTCTGCTCTTCATTTCTTCATATCCTTTAAGAGCCAATGTAAATGTCAGTCTTTCTCAGTCTTTTCTGACTTCCCCAAGTTAGATTGTCACTACTTTCTCTGTTTCATGGCCATGTACACACATCTATTATAACATAAAGTCACTTGTTCACCTTCTCTTCTCTCCAGAAGAATTGGGGACTACTTTAGGTATAGACTACACCTCACTCTCCTTTAATCTCCCCCATCGCTTGACTCTCACAAATTGCCAGGACCTAGTAAGCCCCTGGCAAAAGTTTGCAAAGACAGGTCTCATCACCAGGGGAAGCAGCCAGGCCTCACCACTTCTTGGAATATCTCAGTGAAGGTACAGTTGACTTGCTGTGAATAAATGAATGGCCTTAATTGCTTAGCTGAGTACCCAGACCATGACTGTATCTGGTTGGTTGCCTCCATCATTGTACAAGACACAGCAATTAGCTGATCAATCAACTTGGTTAGAGGACAGACAGTGCTTTCCTCACTTGATGAATAGACCATAGTTATACCCTCCCTAGTGACCTAGTTGCCAACTGCTTTGTACAAGCTAAGTAACACACTGGCTTTTAAAAATGTATTATAATAATTATTATCAAGAAATAATTTTTATTGCCAGAAGGACTTCATCTGGAATGAAGACCCAACTATAAGTAAACTTAACATTCTACCTTCAGAAGTGTATTTAGTTTAGTCATTTTGAAGACAAGCCAATAGCAAGCTACACATTGAACTCAGGATAAGTTCCCTTCCTTCCTCCCTCCCTCCCTCCCTCCCTTCCTTCCTTCCTTCCTTCCTTCTTCCTCCTTCCTTCCTTCCTTCCTTCCTTCCTTCCTTCCTTCCTTCCTTCCTTCCTTCTTTCCTTCCTCTTCCTCAAATATTTATTGAGTACTCACATTTTGACAGACCCTGTTTTAGGCATAGGGGAGTGAAGGAGCCACATCCTCCTACACCCCAGTTGCTTTCTTTTTTTGGATTTTTCATTTGAAAAAAGGGAAAGATAAAAGGAATTTGTAAAAATCATAATTTGAAAATTATAAAAAATAAATTGAGAGTAAAAGTTGGCAGCTGGTAATTGGTTTTGAGCCATTTGAGACAGAAAGCACTTGAAAGGGTAAAAGGTCCCATCAGATAATAAAATTCATTATTCAATTCCCATAAATCCAAATTTATCTTACTTTGCCCTTATTATATTCATATTATATCAAATTAATATAAGATATGGCCCCTGATCTTGAGAACTTCAATACTGGAGTAATATCTTTTATGAGAATCTTAAGTTCTTTGCCAACATGATGAAAAGCTAGCACTACATCTATAAATAAGTTGCAGGAAACAAGTTTTTAAGAGTCTGACTTGCTTAGTCTAGACCAGTCTGTCTCCCCCCCCCCCCAGGTAAAATATAATATATTTATTAATTAGCTGTTTGTTTGTTTTTTAAAACAGGTTTTTATTGATTTTTAGAGAGACAGGAAAGGAGAGGGAGAGAAAGATAGAAACATCAGTGAGAGAAAAGCAGAGAGAAACATCAACATCGACTGGCTGCTTCCTGCCTGCTTCCTCCTGGGGAGGGGCATTGAGCCCAAAACCTAGGCATGTGCCCTAACCACGAATTGAACTGGTGACCTCCTAATGCATAGACTGACACTCAACCACTGAGTCATACTGGCCAGGCAGACTGCTTTTTAAAAATATTTATCTTTATTGTTGAACAAATACATATCCCCTTTTAACCCCACATTGACCCCCTCTTTCCCGCTCCCACCTCCTCCCTAGGCCTTCACCACACTATTGTCTGTGTCCATGGGTTATGCATATCTATATATATATAAAAGGCTAATATCCTAAGTGTCCCTCCTACCGTCCAACCGGTTGCTGTGATGCGCACTGGCCACCAGGGGGCAGATGCTTAACGCAGGAACTGCTGAGCTGCAATGATTTGGCAGCGGCAGTTCTTGGGTGACGCACCCCAAAACCAGGGAGGAGGGAGCCCGATTCCTTGCGCGGCCTCACGATTCCACCTCTGGCAGTGGGTTATGTTGTTGCTGGGGCACTGTTGGCCCGAATCTGGTTTACTGTACACTTGTGTTTGCGTTCCACACCCTGTACGACAGTAACTTTGCACTCTGGGACCCCTGGGGGGGGGGCGGGGATGTTGGAGAGCCAGTTTTGGCCTTATCCCTGCAGGCCAGGCCGAGGGAACCCACCTGCCGGAGGGACCCCCGCTTACTCTCCAGACACCAGGGAGGGACCGAGGGAGGTTGGCTCCAGGGTGTGTCTGGCCCGTCTCGCCCAGTCCCACCCTGCTGGCCACCTTCTAATTAATTTCCTTGCAATGTGTACGAATCCATGCACTGGGTTACTAGTATGCATATAAGTTCTTTGGTTAATCTTTTCCCACTCCCCCAACTCCCCCTTAGATTTGTCACTCTGTTGCAGGCTTCCATGTCTCTGGATCTATTTTGTTTGTCAGTTTATTTTGTTCATTAGATTCCACATATGAGTGAGATTATGTGATACTTGTCTTTCTCTGACTGGCTTATTTTGCTTAGCATAATAATCTCTAGGTCCTTCCATGTTGCCTCAAAGGGCAATAGTTTCTTCTTCCTTCTTTTTACAGCTTCATAGTATTCCACTGCATAAATGTATTATAGCTTTTTTTATCCACTCATCTACTGATGGGCACTTAGGCTGTAAAGTGTGACTGTCAGACTAGCAGCATTATTGTCACTTGGGAATTTGTGAAAGAGGCAAATTTGTAGACCCTAACCCAGGGCTACTGAATCTGAAACTCTGGGGTTAGGAGGGTAGCAATTGGTGCTCTAACAGATTCTGTGATTCTTAAAATAATTTTATTTTTATTTTTTGTAGAGAGAGAGTAGAAAAGACAGAAAGAGAGAGAGAAACATCAATGTGAGACAGACACATTGATTGGTTGCCTCCTGCACGGGATCAAGCCTGCAACTCCTGCAACCGAGGTATGTGCCCTTGACCAGAATCGAACCCAGGACCATTTAGCCCATGAGTCGATGCTCTATCCACTGAGCCAAACCAGCTAGGGCCACAGACGCTGTGATTCTGATGCATGCTCAGGTGTGGCTGATAACCACTGCTCCAGTCTAGACCTCAATAGTCACAGTGTGGTCCATCAGCATCCCCTGGGAGCTTGTGAGGAATGTAAGTGTTGGGCCCCATTCCAGACCTACTGAATCAGTGTGTGGCCTTTAACAGGATTCCCAGGTATGCACCTTACATTTGTGAAGCACTGCTCAGGACAGATGGTACCTTAAAGAGCACTGAGCCAGGCCCTGGCTGGTGTGGCTTAGTTGGTTAATTGTCATCCCATGCACTGAAAGGTTGCTGGTTCAATTCCTAGTCAGAGCACATGCCCAGGTTGAGGGTGCATACAGGGGGCAACCAACCAATGTTTCTTTCTCATATTGATGTCTCTCCCCGCCTCCACAATAATATAAAAAGAGCATTGAGCCAGGCCCAGTCTATGACTCCTATCCCAGTCATCATATCACTGAAGCCTCCTGATGCATTCCTCTTCTCTATGCACTCCTGTGATACTATTAGGAACTAGCATTTTGCAAACTTGGACAGCACCAAAATTTCTTGCGGAGCAGGCTCAGCTCCAATCCACAAAGACTGAGTTGAGGGTGGTGCCACTTGAAATGTAATGTTTGCCAATAGCCAACAGGTTGCTATTAAAATTGTCAGATTTTCCCTTTCTTAAGATACAATTAAAAATTTTTTTTTTGGACTGAAGTAAATCTAATAAAATTTCCCACATAAATAGATCAAACAGACTTAGAAAATTTGGGATTTCTCAGCCAGGAACTGTTTTGACATTAGCAAGGGCCAGTAGAGCCAATTGAATTAATAAGATACTGCAGTTCGTCCAAAATGAGTTGGTAAGTGCCTGTTGTCCCCAGGCCACCCTGGCTGCCAGGCTCTTCCTTCAGGCTCTCCCTTGGGCTCCCATGGACCCAGCACTCAATAGTCAAAGTATTCTTTCCTGGTACATCTGGAGTCCCCAGAGCCTTAAATAATGTGGTTTGCATCTCTTCTGATTTGTTGGTGCTCCTGTCCTACTACTTGTTAGATACAATCAATCCTCACTATTGGCAGATTCTGCCTCCTTGCTAAAATTCATTTGTAACCCCAATTCCATACTCACGGTGCTTTTGCAGTCATCTGAGGACACGTGCAGAATGGTGAAAAATGTGTCTATACCTGACATGCACATTCCCTCTAAACGAAGCGATGCCTTGCCTTCTTGCGTCAGCTCTCATGCTGTCTCCTTTCATAGTTTGATTAGCACCATGATTTTTGCATTTTGTTGGTGACTCTACTTTTAAAATGGCCCAGAAGAGCAGTGCTGAAGTGCTGTCTAGTGTTCCTAAGTGCAGAACAACACTGTGATGGGCCTTAAAGAGAAAATGTATGTGTTAGATAGGCACCATTCAGGCATGAGATACAGTGCTATTGGCTATAGGTTCAGTGTAATCAACAATACATATTAAATACGGTGTCTTTAAACAGAAACACACATAAAGCAAGGTTGTGTGTTGATCAGGCGATGAAGATGTGATCAGTGGCTCACAGGATCTAACCTTGTGTTTTCCCTAGAAGCAATGAGTTAGTACTCACTAATTTAGTGTTTGTGATAAATGTATACGACGTAACTGCTATGGATAATGAGAATCAACCATATTCAGAATATCACCCAGTTTATAAATGTTTTAATCTAGTTCTTTACCCTTGATCCCTTTGCTGGAAATGTAGAATGCCATCACCCTACCTTCCCACTGGGTTATGAGTTTTAAAGCATTTGCTGGGTGGGAATGGAGGGTGGACTCATCAAGTGTCGCAGAGAAAAATTTCTGAAAAGGCGTGTATATGTCCTCATCTTTGTATTCCCAAGGCAGCATTTACTAAATGTTTGCTGCATACGGTTACTTAATTGGGAGTCTTAAAGGGGAAACCCCATGAGTGGGTGATGGAACTGTGGGGAGGGATAGAGACCCAATTAGACCCCTAGCCAATGGTCCTTCCAAAATTCATGATTCCTTTAGCTACAGAGTGGATGTGAGAGGCCATGGTCCCTGCCCTTCAGAGCACATAACTGTGAGCAAGACAAACATGTGAACAAGTGGTTCCCACTCCATAAACATGGTCGTATTCAAACCGATGTAAAAGAATTGTGGGAAACTGGAGGAGAAAATGCCTGATTTTGGAGAAGAGATATTTAAGCTGAGTTTGAAGTAGGGAAAGGAGTTCCTTAGGCAGAGAAGAGGGTGAGGTTAACAGACTCACCAGTGTTAACCGAGAGTGAGGAGAATTTGAGGCAGGAGGAGCAGAATTAGCAGAGGCATGAGTGTCCAGGGTGTGTGGAGGTAGGGAGGAGGTGTGTAGGCGTTTGGGCAGACAGGAAGGGGACAGAATGTTGGGGCTGGAGAGAGGGGTGGTAAGTGGACCTCATGATCAGGGGTTTGGCGTTGACTTTGTATCTCAATCTCATAGGCGAGCAGTACAAGATTAGAGGTTAGGAAAGATCGCTGTGGCAGCAGTGGGAAAGATGGATGGCAACAGGGAGGCTTTCTGCTAATATTAGCGCGGGTGATAGACACCCAGCTCAACTTGGCTTCCCAGAAGAATCTGTTCTTGGTGCCTCCACATGCATTTTTTACCAGGGTCCATTTCTCTAAGGTTAATCTTTTCAGACTTGAATGGGCATACAAATCTCGTTGAAACACAAATCCTGATTCAGGAGGCCTGAGTGGGGTCCGAGTTTCTGCAGTTCCGACGTGCGTCCTAGTGATGCCGATGTTGCGGGTCCACAGGCACACTTTGAGAAGAAAGGCTCCAACTGGCTTCTATATGGGAACAGTCTGTTTTATTGTTATTTAAAAGACTGGTGTCTGGTGCCATACCCAAGACTCTGATTTAATAGGTACAGGGTGTGGCCTGGGCAACGAGAATTTAAAACGTGCCCCAGGTGAAGTATTTTTATTTGTTTGGTTGGTTGTTTTTAAAATTTCACCAGAAGATACTGGAATCTGGAGCTACCAGCCATAGGGGATGAGCAGTGAATAGGGATTCAGTGTCCTGGGAGAGAAGGAGTGATTGCTTCACCCTGGGCTCATGCTGGCTACTGGAGGCCGGAGTGGGCTGATGAAATGGGAATTCACTGCTCATTGTCTTCAGGGTCTGTGGTCCCTAGGAGGGTGGAGAGATCCTAGGGAATCACTAATAACTGCCGGGTAGTGATGGTCTTACCTGGTGGTCAAATCATTACCGAAGAGCAAGGAGGGAAATTGTTTTTCTTAGCTTCTTAGGTCTTCCCCTTAACTCTTCTCTGCCTGCCTTCAAGGTTTGTTGTGATATAGATGTTGGCTTTAAAATTCCTCCTGGAGAGTGGCGCCAGCTCCCTTCTCCCACACTGTATTTATATTGCAACAAGCTTTGTTATTTCATCCATGTTATTTCTTTCCCAAGCCTTAAAGTGCTAGCTGGACCCCCCAGTACAGTGTTCCATAGAAGCAGTGAAAGTGATTGATGCCATGGAGCTGTTCCTGATTTTATAAGAGGATTTCAATGTGTGACCACGTTTGCTCTTATTTCTGCCGGGGGAGGGGGCTATTCTTTATTAAGTTAAAGACATTGCCTTCTATTCTTGATGTTAGGAGTTTTTCTTCTTAAAGTTATGAACATTATTGATGTTCCTCAAAGGTTCCTTTTTTTTTTTACCTTTTGAGACACTGACAAACTTTTCTCAATAATATTATTAAGGTGGGGTATTACATGAAAGGATTTTTCTAATGTTAAACCATCCTTGCATTTCTGGGAAGAAACCATTTTGTTTATGTTATCTCTCTCTGATTTATACGTCACTGGATTTATTTTGCTAGTAGTTTGTTTGCCATTTTTGCTTCTATGGTAATGATTGAGATTGTCCTGAGATTTTTCTTATTCATGTTTTATCAGTTTGGATATCAAGGTCATGTGAAACTCATTAAAAATTTTACTTAGTCTTCCCTGGAAGAATTTGTACAAGACTGGAATTATCTGTTTGTTGATCTTGAATGTTTGATAGATCTTGATGGGGGAGAGATTTTTTTTTTTTGTTATGATTAGAATGGATTTGTACTATAATTTGCTATCTGGTATTTAATCCCTCCCACTTTGTTTTTTTTTTTTTTTTTTTTTATTGCTTAAAGTATTACAAAGGGTATTACATATGTGTCCATTTTATCTCCCCGCCCTAGACAGTCCCCTAGCCTCCCCTATCCCCCAGTGTCTTATGTCCACTGGTTATGCTTATATGCATGCATACAAGTCCTTTAGTTGATCTCTTACCCCCCTACCTCCTGCCCCCCAACCCTCCCCGGCCTTCCTGCTGCAGTTTGACAATCTGTTTGAGGCAGCTCTGCCTCTGTATCTATTATTGTTCAAAAGTTTATAATGGTCTCTATTATCCATGAATGAGTGAGATCATGTGGTATTTTTCCTTCATTGACTGGCTTATTTCACTTAGCATAATGTTCTCCAGTTCCATCCATGACGTTGCAAATGGTAAGAGTTCCTTCCTTTTTAGAGCAGCATAGTATTCCATCGTGTAGATGTACCACAGTTTTCTAATCCATTCATCTACTGATGGGCACTTAGGCTGTTTCCAGATCTTAGCTATGGTGAATTGTGCTGCTATGAACATGGGGGTGCATATATCCTTTCTGATTGGTGTTTCTGGTTTCTTGGGATATATTCCTAGAAGTGGGATCACAGGGTCAAATGGGAGTTCCATTTTCAGTTTTTTAAGGAAACTCCATACTGTCTTCCATAGTGGCTGCACCAGTCTGCATTCCCACCAGCAGTGCACAAGTGTTCCTTTTTCTCCACATCCTCTCCAGCACTTGTCGTTTGTTGATTTGTTGATGATAGCCAGTCTGACAGGTGTGAGATGGTACCTCATTGTTGTTTTGATTTGCATCTCTCGGATGATTAGTGACTTTGAGCATGTTTTCATATGTCTCTTGGCTTTCTGAATGTCCTCTTTTGAAAGGTGTCTATTTAGGTCCTTTGCCCATTTTTTGATTGGATTGTTTATCTTCCTTTTGTTAAGTTGTATGAGTTCCCTATAAATTTTGGAGATTAGGCCCTTATCAGATATGACATTGGCAAATATGTTTTCCCACACAGTAGGTTTTCTCGTTGTTTTGTTGATGGTTTCTTTTGCTGTGCAGAAGCTTTTTATTTTGATGTAGTCCCATTTGTTCATTTTCTCTTTCGTTTCAAGTGCCCTAGGAGCTGTATCAGTGAAGAAATTGCTTCGGCATATGTCTGAGATTTTGTTGCCTTTGGATTCTTCTAAAATTTTTATGGTTTCCTGTGGGGGAGAGATTTTTAACTGGTGACTTAAATTCTATAATACTTTTAATGGTTGTAGTAGTCACTGGTTTCTGTAGTGTAAATTCTCCCACTATACTTGATATCAAGCTAACAGCAGTTAGCAATCACCTCACAAAATTCCTTAATACTTAATAATTGGCTCCTGGATTTCAGTGTGAGATGGTTCAATGTAAATATATCATTTATAGGGATATGTATTTTGAGGTTTTTATTGGAATTGCATTATATTTTTTTCTAGAAATTTTTCCATTTCACCTGTTTTCAAATTTATTAGCATAAAATTGTTCACAATATCCTCTTGGTATATTTTAAATCTCTACATGATATTTAACTATATCTTTCTCTTCTTAATATTATTCTGGAGTGTTTTTCCCCCCTGCTCAATCATGGTAATGGTTTATCAACTTTTGTCTCTATGTTTATTTTATATTATATTAATTTCTACTGATCTTTATTTTTCTTCCATCTATTTTCTTTGGGTTTATTCTGTTACTTTTTTTTTTAACCTCTTAAGTTGGATGCTCTATTAGCCAGGGTCCAGGCAGGAAATAGATGGCAACTCACAGAAAGGATTAGTTCAATGAAGAGAGTATTTACATAGATGTGGCAGGGTTAAGGAAACCAACAAGAGGTGAAGTACCCAGAATTCACAGCAGTAGGAAGCCATTATTACTCCTCAGACTGAAGTTGAAAGGGAAGGTACAATGCTTTCAGACCCCATGGTGAGACCTGTAACCTTGGGAAAGGGGCTGCCAAGGAGAGCTATGAACTTAGGCAGAGCAATGTAGCCTTTGCCACAACCATGGCGTAAGGATGGAACAGAGAATAAATAACCTGATTTCTCTTCTTACCCTCTGATGTCTGCTGGAATCACTAATTGTGTAAATTCATCCAATGGGTAAACTCAACTGGAAGCCAGCTGAAACGTAGCTGGAATGATGTAGTCCTTACAAGGTAAGCTTTTTGGGACACAGAATAGGAATAAAAGGGCCACCAATGGATCTAGAAGGGGGCATATATGGATCTAGAGAGATTTAGCTCATTTATCTTAGTCCCTTTCCATCCTTGCCAATTTGTGTATTTAAGGCTATACTTTTCCCTCTAAGTACTATTTAGCTGCATCTCATAAATTAAATTAAATTTAATTATAAGATGATGGGCCCTGCTCTGTGCGTGACAGGGGGTGGTGCCACAACCTCCCCATCGACCCTGCCTTGAGTGTGACAGGGGACGGTGCCCCAACCCCCCAACTGGCCCTACCCTGAGCGTAACTGAGGGTGGCATCACAACCTCCCAATCTGTCCTGCTCTGTGCATGATGGGGCGGCGCCCCAACTCCCCAATCGGCCCTGCTCTGAAACTGACCAGGGGCTGCACCTAGGGATTGGGCCTGCCCTCTGCCACCCGGGAGCAGGCCTAAGCCAGCAGGTCGTTATCTCCCGAGGGGTCCCAGACTTCAAGAGGGCACAGGCCGGGCTGAGGGACCCCCCCACCCCCCGAGTGCACACATTTTTGTGCACCGGGCCTCTAGTATATATATATTTAAATATATTTTATTGATTTTTTACAGAGAGGAAGGGAGAGGGATAGAGAGTTAGAAACATCGATGAGAGAGAAACATCGATCAGCTGCCTCCTGCACACTCCCTACTGGGGATGTGCCTGCAACCAAGATACATGCCCTTGACTGGGATTGAACCTGGGACCCTTGAGTCCCCAGGCCGACGCTCTATCCACTGAGCCAAACCGGTTAGGGACTGATTTTATATTTTTAAGTGATTGTTTGACTTCACATCTGTGTCCCTCAGTTGACTGTAGGACCTATAGTGGCAGGATAAATGTTTGTAGTTGGTCACTACTTTGTCTCTAGCACCCAGAACAGTCTTAGTATATTCTCAACAAGTATTTGATGAATATATAAATATTGTGAAAGCTAGATTGCAAAGACACTGTATTAATTTGTTAGGGCTGCCATAACAAAATACCACAAACTGGGTGGCTTAAATAACAAAAATGTATTGTCTCACAATTCTGAGGCTCGAAGTCCAAAATCAAGGTGTCAGGAGGGTCAGTTTCTTCTGAGGGCTGTGAGGGAAGAAACTGCTCTAGGCCTCTTCTCTGGGCTTGCGGATGACTGTCTTCTCCTTGTGTCTTCACTATGCAGATTTCCCCTTTTCATAAGGACTCCAGTCATATCGTATTAGGCCCCACCCAATGACCTCATCTTAATGTAATTACCTATGCAAAAACCCTGTCTCCTAATAAGGTTACATTCCAAGGTACTGGGGGTTAGGTTTCCAACATATGAATTTCTTTGTGGGGCAGGGGGGTGGGGGGCACAATTCAACCCATAAGACAGAGTTATAGACTACTCCTTTACAGTGGCCACTGCCGTTTGAGAGGGATGTCAAGTTCCTGATGGTGTATGTATATGCTGGTACATTTTCTTTTCTTTTTTAATAATATATTTCTATTGATTTTGAGAAACAGAGAGGAAGGGAGAAGGAGAGAGAAACATCGATGTGAGAGCAAAACACTGATCGCTCGATTGGCATGTGCCCTGACTGGGAATTGAACTGGCAACCTTTCAGTGTACTGGGCAATGCCCAACCAACTGAGCCACACTGGCCAGGGCTGGGGGATACATTTTAAAGGAACAACAGCAGGGGAGGCACCAACTGAGCAAGCGATAGATACAGAACATAAACTCTTTCACCCAAAGAGGCTTGCTTTTTCCTGTACTGGATGTTTAACTTTTGCTTTTGTAGGATAATGTAACACTTGGACACATGGGGTAAAAAAATGAAATATCAAGCTAGGGAAGTTTTTTTCCAACTTCTTACATAATCTATAAACAAAAGCTGTCATAGTAGAACATGCTTGGGAAACACTTCGGACACCCATGACCCTCTCGGAGTGTTACAAGGCACAGTGACATGTGAAAGGCTCTGGTAATCCTGTAGTAACATGGCCTGGTTAAGTTTATTAAATTTAATATTTCTTAAACTGACTTTAAACAGGAATCCCCTCAAATTTGCATACTAATTTACTAGTATCCTGTATCATTTTATCAACCTGGTTTGGGAAATGCTGGCCTGTGGTTGCTTCTGTGGGTGGGAGAGAGACAGTATCCCCAGTGACTTTCCTTCTGGCTTCTCCTTATAACAGGGTATCACCACTCCGACCCCATTCCTCTGTACATTTCATCGGTACTTAGACCGGCCCCATTAAGGTTTTGTTTGAATGGCAAAGGCCTTGGCCGGGGTTCACCGTTTTGGCTGTTGTCACAAAGAGGAGAAGGCAGTTGTAATGATTGGTGTAAGTTTGTTTACAAGGAGCCTTAGAGGAAATTTGTAAAGAAACCCTCCGTCATCCCACTGCTCTGAGAAACTCTAGGCGCCAAACAGAGATCTTTTCTGGGTGTCTAAGTGCCTCAGCGATGATTTGAGCAGCAGTCATGCATCTGTTGCAAGCTCTTCTTTGTTAAGATCCCAGTTTTAAGAGTATCAGCAGTATAAAACATCACTCCTGAGGGGGAGGTTGATTGTAAAATGACAGATGAGAGAATAAAAATCATAAGGGCGTTCATTTCCTTATAGGAAACCCCACAGGCGTTCTTCCAGAACGGAGAGCAGACTTATTCTAAAGCATCTGCCCTTCCCACATCCCTCCCACTTCAGAGTGCAGAGGCGAATTGCTCTGGGGAAAGCGCCAGCCAGGTGACAGCCTTCCTGGAGATAGATGGCTCAACATTTACGTGAGTGTGATTAGGGGCCAAGTGAATCACTGCCTTTTGGCATCATACTGTCACCACCCGTGACAGATCAGCGATTGTCATTTTCTTTAAGCAGCACCTGGGCAGGGCTGCTTGAGGTTGTCTATGGGATCACAAGAAGGTGGAGGAAAGAACGTGGGTTCCCTGACCTTCAGCCTCGAGTTCAGTTTCCCTATGTTTTAGGTCCAGAAGTACAGGTTTGACTAGCACATCCCCCTAAGGAGGTAAGGCCTGGTCTGAAGGATTTGGGGAAGGCCGGGATCCAAGGTGTCAGCTGAGGTTTAGGGAAGCTCTAGGGCAGTGGTTCTCAACCCCCCTAATGCCGCGACCCTTTAATACAGTTCCTCATGTTGTGGTGACCCCCAACCATAAAATTATTTTCGTTGCTACTTCATAACTGTAATGTTGCTACTGTTATGAATCGAAATGTAAATATCTGATATGCAGGATGTACTTTCATTGTTACAAATTGAACATAATTAAAGCATAGTGATTAATCACAAAAACAATAGTAATTATATATGTGTTTTCGGATGGTCTTAGGCGACCCCTGTGAAAGGGTCGTTCGACCCCCAAAGGGGTCGCAACCCACAGGTTGAGAACCACTGCTCTAGAGGGAATTTGATCCAGGAAACAGATGTGAACTTGAATGAACAGCTCTCGTCGGTCCTCTTAGGAAATGTTCTCTTGCGTCCCTTTGTCGGCTATGATCCTTCAGCTTAGAAATGAAGATCCATAAGACATAGTTATAGGCTACCCAGTTGGAGTGATTCAGTGGTTGAGCATCGACCTATGAGCCAAGAGGTCACAGGTTAGATTCCTGGTCAGGGCACATCCCAGGTTTCAGGCTTTATCCCTAGTTAGGGATGTGCAGGAGGTAGTCAATCGATGATGTTTCCCTCTCATCAATGTTTCTATCTCTCCATCTCTTTTCCTCTCTCTCTAAAAATCCATAAAAACTTATAATTAAAAAAGAATAGTAACACCTGCCAGAGAATAATTGCTTATGATGTGTTTAAGCACTCTAAATACTTGACATGCGTTGCTTTTTAAAATTTTACTTTTTCAATTACAGTTTACATTATTTTATATTTGTTTCAGGTGTACAGCTTAGTAGTTAGATAACCATATACTTTACAAAGTGATCTCCTCAATATTGTAAGTGCCCATCTGGCACTGTACAGTTATTACAATATTATTGACTACTAGAGGCCTGATACACGAAGATTTGTGCAAGAATGGGCCTTCCCTTCCCCTGGCTGCCGGCACCGCCTTTGTTCCAGCTGGAGCTGCCTTTCCACCTTCTCTCTGGCCCGCAGTCGCCTTTCCGCCTTCCCACGCTGCCCAGAGGACCTGAGCAGCTGGGGCTGTGTGGAATGCCTGAGTCATTGCCACGGTGATGACACAAATGTCCCACCCAGCCCCTGGCCTCTCAGGGCCTGTGTATGCAAATTAACCCGCCAGCTTTGTTGGACTAATTATATACTCACCCCTGATTGGCTGGTGGGCATTGCAAATGTATGGTGAATTTGCATCTTTTTCTTATTAGTGTAGGTATTCCCTATGCTGTACTTTACATCCCTGTGACTATTGTGTAACTGCCAATTTACACTTCTTGACCTCATCATCTCCAACCCCTACTCCCCTCTGGCAACCATCAGTCTGTTCTCTGTATCTGAGTCTGTTTCTATTTTGTTTGTTCTTTTATTTTGCTGTTTATATTCCACATATAAGTGAAATCATATGATACTTGTCTTTCTCTGTCTAACTTATTTCACTTAGCATAATACCCTCTAGGTCCATCCATGCTATTTCATTCTTGCAAAATGGTTCTGTAATTTATCTTTATTTCATAGATGTTGAAACTAAGGGTCAGAAAGGTAAAGCCACTTGCCCAGGGTCACACAGCTAGAACTCACACCCAGATCTGTCAGACACCTGTGCGTTTGCTCTGAACCACTGTGCCATGCTGCCTGACCTCAGATGTATACTGTAAAAACAAATGCATGTTCACATTCACCTCCTTTTATCTCTGCTATTGCTGATAGCTTGAGTAGGTGCAATTACTCCCCTGTTGCCAAAGAGGAAACTGAGGCACAGAGAGCTTGAGTGACTTGCTCAAGGTGCCATAGCGATAAGTGATGGGATTAAGGCTCAGATGCATATAGTCCCCAAGTCCAGTTTCTTCCCACTGCCGTGCTGCTCTTGGAAATCTGCTGTTTCCCGCCTCTGCTTCTTCTCTAGCCTGAAGGTGTGGTCAGGGCTGTGGTGAGCCTGAAATTGAGTCAAAACCCAAGTAATTACGGAGAGTACATAGTAAAGTCCTTAGGATGAAAAATTGGTATTTTTAAAAATTTATTTATAATTGAATTTATTGGGGTGACATTGGTTCTGAACACTTCCCATAAACAAAATCCATAGTTTCAGTTTGAAATACAATTTTTCCATTGACCTGCTTTTTAAAAGATTTTTGACACTATTACAGATGTCCTCTCCTTCTACCCCCAACCCCACCCCCACCTGCTTCTTAATGCTTCTCCTGGTGAATAATGAACAGACTTGATGTAATAAAACTCTGACAAAACCCTAAATTGCCTAGGCAAAATCGGTTTCTAATTGGTCACGGGTGAGGCCAGAGAGTGGATGCAAATGCAGAGATGAGAGAAGCAAAGGAGGGAAGGGCAGTGTGTAGTGAGGAAGAGAAAGCAAAGGACCAAGAGCCTCAATGGAGCAGTCTGAATGAACTCATTACAAAAAATTCTTTGTGAATTTAACTTTAGAGGTTTCAAAGACAAAAATAAGTGAAATAAGTAGTCTGGTCAAGGTACTTATCTTACCTTTACCTTTTATTGGTACATACAAAAATATTTATAGGTGAAATGGTATCTGAGATATCATTCTAAATAATCCAGTGGGTGTGGTAAGTGAATAGATAGGTAAACAAGATTGCCACTTGTTGCTAATTGTTGGCATTGGGTGATTGGTACTGGGGGCTCATTATAATATCTGCGTAGGTGTTTGGAAATTTCCAGTAAGTAGTTTTTAAGAAACTCTATTCCATTGTGGCCAGTGAGTGCCATCTATGGGTCATCCATGGGAACTGTTCTGAAAGGCTTTATAAAAAGCACTGGGCTGAGTGACTAAGAATTGAAACACTTGGCTGCTCAGTTACTTCAAAAGACTGAACAGTGGGAAGACAACCATTTAGGTGTCTAGTATCTGCAGGATACTAGTATCTGGTTTCTTCTGAGGCCTCGCTCCTTGGGTTGCAGATGGCTGCCTTCTTGCTGTGTCCTCACACAGCCTTTTTCTGTGCAGAAACATTTCCATGTCTCTTCCTTCTCTTAGAAAGACTAGTCCTATTGG